GGGAGGAGGGAGGAAGAGCGGGGGGAGGGGAAAGCAGAGAACGAAAGAGGCGGAGGCGGCCCCGGTACCCCGCTTTGGTCTTCATCATCACCACCCCCGGGGCCCCAGTTCCCACCCACACACCAACCTCTAACGATAGCGGGTAATTTTCCTCCTTCTTCCCTCAAACGGCTATAGCGAGACGGTAGACGACGACCAGAACTACTTCTGCTCACGTAAGCGTTTGATCACGTGAGCACCTACGTCATGTGAGATCGAGGTCACGTGAGCAACTCTCGGCTTAAACTCGAGATCACTAAAGTGCCGCACTTCCTTCTGGTATGGAAATAGGGCGGGCCAATATCAAGAACGAAAGAGTATGATTGGTTGGAGGTACGTCTTACGTTACTGATTATTGGTCCGCCTTTGGGGATAACCGTCCCAGTTGCCTGAGAAACAATACCGTCATTTTTAATAACTCATCGGTGATTGGTCCGCTCCTAAGATTAAACTTAAAAGCCCAGGTTACCCGCGGAAATGTGTACTATATGATCACTGTGACTATGCAGCTGAGGAGTAGAGAACAGCAGCTGGGCTGCGCGCTTGCGCTTCGCTTCCTGGCCCTGGTTCCCTGGGGCATCCCTAGGGCCAGGGCGCTGGACAACGGCTTAGCGATGACGCCTACCATGGGCTGGCTGCACTGGGAGCGCTTCATGTGCAACCTTGACTGCCAGGAAGAGCCGGATTTTTGCATCAGGTATCAGATGTTGGGTGCCCCCTTCCTTTTGCTTTTCTGTGTGCTTGGGTATGATTGGGGAACTGAAAGGTCTCAACGGAAACATTTGAGCCCGAGGGAGAGCTCCCCTACTGCTACTGTTCTTTTATCCCCAGTAAATTGTCCTGGATAGAGATTGGCCCTAAACTTTTCTCCGTGTGACCCTTCCTAGGGTGGGACGCCGGCCAGCGGCCCCTGCTTCTCTCTCTCCCTGCTCAGTTCCATTCAAATCCTTATGAATTTCTGCTCTGGCTAGTGCTGTTCGGATACTATACTTGAGTTTAGCTGGGATGGGTAGGAGCGTTGGAGGACTAACACTTGAGCCATTTATTTTTCTTTTGGTGTCACAGGTTCCTTGGCTGTAACTCAAGGGAGTTAGATCAAGTGGTCTCTGAGAGCTTCTCCATCCCCTTGCCTTTAAGTCTGGTGTCAGGCTGGAAGGTTGACAAGGAGGAACTTCACACATTTATAACTTTGGGTGAGGGTTGAGGTTGGATTAGACATGTATCGAACCTATCTGATTCTCACAATCCTTATATGTAAATTGGGATAACAACTTTTTTATTTCAGGGAACCGACTCACAAAGATCTGTAAAATAGTTATCTCACATGGGTGAGCTTTCAATAACACATTAAAAGTGCATGGCACAGTGCCTGACCACTTAATTGAACATATACAAAAAATGTTCTTAACTTGAAATCCATGGGAAAATGAATGTAAATTTGAAAATATGGATATGTGTATTTTTCCAGAGAGAAGATATTTGCCCTTGTTCAGATTCTCAAAGGGCTCTGCGATTTTAAAAAGGTTAAGAATCACTGATACTGTTAAAAGCATAATAAGATCACCCATGGTGCAGAGACCCCTCTAAAAGGCAGCAGTCACAGTACATCTGTGTTCATAAATTATTCCTATGAATGTCTTTACAGATAAAGTCAAGATGTTGGTCAGACGTCACAGAAGAAATTGGCCTCTAAGTTTCAGACTAAGTCTGTTATGACTCTGGGGTACAGAGTGTGTGGCATTTGTGCCCATTATGGATTTTTTTTTTTTTTTGAGTTGGGGTCTCACTCTGACAACCCAGGCTAGAGTACAGTGACAAGATCACGGCTCACCACAGCCTCGACCTTCTTGGCTATCTATAGGTGCACACCACCACGCCCAGGCAATTTTGTAGAGACGAGATTTTGCTCTGTTGCCCAGACTGCTCTTGAACTTCTGTGCTCAAGCAACCCTCCGGCCTCGGCCTTCCAGAGTGCTGGGGTTACAGGTGTGAGCCACCACACCCACTCAGCATGAACTTTTTTAAAAATTGTAGTTGTCTTATTTGTGTATCTCATTATAAAACTAGTGCATGGTCATTGCAAAAAATGTAGAAAGTAAAGAAAAGCATAATGAAAATAAAGATTTCCCCCCCCATTTCCACCACCCAGAAATAATCATGGTTAAAATGTTAACTTACAACCTTGCAATGTTTTCTATGTGAATGAAAGTACACATTTCTTTTTTTTTTCTCATTTATTTTCCATAAAAAATGGGATTGTGTTTATGTCATGAGTAGCTAATGAAAAGACTCTGGTGTCCTGCCTGGGTTCACATTCTACCTCATTGTTACCTGTGACATTGGGCAGATTAATTACACCCTTTCTACATGTAAGCAGAGTAGAATATCTGGCCCAGAATAAGAGCATCTTAAATGCAAGTTGTATGTATATACCATAACTTAAGCAATCCCCATGTCGATAGCTATTCAGGCCCGTTTTGGTACATCATCCATTTCTTACCTGATTCTTTACTTAGAAGACTTACTAATTACTTGATCCAAAAATATTCTGAGTTTGATACATGTCAAACCATCCTCCTTAAAGGTTTTACAAATGCACATTCCTAGCAGTTGTGTAAGATAATATTTTCCTCAAACCCTGGCCAACACTCAATTTTTATCATTCTTTTAAAATCTTGTCAGTTTGTTAGGTGTTATTTGCATTTCTTTGAACATCTTTATGTTAAATTGGTCTTTGGCACAGGTTTTTTTTATGGATTGCCCCACTATGATAGTTCCCTGTTTTTCTTTTTTTTTCTTTTTGAGTCTGAGTCTCACTCTGTCTCCCAGGCTGGAGTGCAGTGCTCAATCACAGATACTGCAGCCTTGACCTGCTGGCTCAGGCGACCTTTTGCTTCAGCCTTCCAAGCAGTTGTAACTACAGGCGCGTGTCACCATGCCCAGCTAATTTTTAAATTTATTTTAGAGACGAGGTCTTGCCAAGTTGCCCAAGCTGGTCTTGAATCCCTGGGCTCAGGCAATCCTCGCCTCCACCTCCCAAAGTGCTGGGATTACAGGCATGAGCCACCATGCTCAGCAGAGTTCCCTATTATTCAATTGGAATGTCTTTTTTCTTTTTTTGGTCTATCACAGTTACAAATACGGTGGTTCTTCCTGTATGTTGGTTGATATTTATGTAGTCAAACACATCAGTTCTTTCTTTTATGATTTCTGACTTTGGGGTCATAATGAGAAAGTCCTTTCCTACCTAAAGATAATATAGTCACCTACGTTTTGAATTTTTAAAGTATTTAAATCTTTAGTCCATCTGAACTTTATTCTTCTATTATCTTCTATAGTCTGTACATGTGCTTAATATTTTGGTTTTTGGTGTTTTTTTGTTTTTTTGTTTTTGTTTTTGTTTTTAGTTGAAGTCTCACTATGTTCCCTAGGCTGGTCTTGAACTAACTGGGCTCAACCGATCCTCCCATCTCTGCTGCACAACATGCTGGGATTCCAGGCTTGACCCATCAACCCTGGCCTTTCATCTTTAAGTGAATTTTTTGAATCATTTTGCCAAGTTCCTTAAAAAGTCCTTGTAGAATTTGTTACGGCTTTTATTAAATGTATAAAAGATTGTAGGGAAAACAAGCTTATTTTTAATATTGAATATTCTTATTCAAGAGCAAAATTATGTTTCTCCATCTATTCACAACACTTAAAAGCATCAATGTTTTAACATATGGGCCCTACACACGTCTTAAATTTATTGATAGGTATTTTAGGTTTTCCAGTTGTTCATGTGAATGAGTTTTCTCCAAATAGGTTATTGTTAATATCTAAAGAAGCTGTTGATTATGTTAACTTTGTAGGTATCTTATTCAACTGTTTTCTTAGTTCTGATAATCTTTTCAATTTAATCATGTATTTCTTATTCCTACTTTAATTGTTTGAGGGTTTTAGGGCAGATGTATTAAGGGGTAGGGGAGAGAAAAAAATGTGTAAGAACAATTCATTTTACCTTGTATTGGTTGTAATTACTACCCCATTACTACTGGGTTGAAAAAATTGTGAAATCCCAAGGTGCCTAACAAATGGAAGGTACCTAAGTGTTTACTGAATTAATTGTAATGATTATTGGACTGTCTCTTTTAGTGAGCAGCTCTTCATGCAAATGGCAGAACTCATGGTCTCAGATGGTTGGAAGGATGCAGGTTATGAGTACCTCTGCATTGATGACTGTTGGATGGCTCCCCAAAGAGATTCAAAAGGAAGGCTTCAGGCAGACCCTCAGCGCTTTCCTGGTGGGATTCGCCGCCTAGCTAATTATGTGAGTTTAAAGATAATTTTATTTTCATTTAGAGGATTGTAAGCACTTCTGTACAGGAACTTGTTCAGAAACAGCCCTAGAAAGTAGAATAGCTGCTGTTATCTGAATGCTGAATTGTAAGGTAGACTTTTCATTCCATCAGCAGACATATGTTTTGCAAAAGCTCTTGAGGCCCATATTGGAGAAGTTCTCCTTTTGCTAAAACCACTGAATTCTCTAAGAGGAAAAAGGAACTTGGTTCTTGACATGTGTGTGCCCACATTTCTGTGTAGCTTTGGGCAGCTATTGTAATTATAAACTAGAGTTTTAAAAGATAGAAGAAAAATATTCTGGAGATTGTTGAAGAGAAACAGACCCCAATACTAGTTAAAGGTGATGAAGACAGATTTTCTTTTTCAGTACTATTTCAATAGAGAAAAGAGCCAAGCTCAAATCTGAATACAAGAAAGATAAGTGGGAATTTATAGCCAGTGGGAAGATAGAGAGGTCAGTGGATAGAAAATTACTAAAAGGAGACCTCAAGGGTAGGAAGATTTTTGCTAAAAAGACAGGACATGAACTTAAACATTGAGGGTGAGGATGAGGGAAATTGATGAGATATCAAGGATGGCAGGCAACAGAGTAGTGAGACTGACTCAAAAAATTTTCAAGTCTGGCAGGATTGACTTAGCAGGATTCTTGGTAAGATTGCTTGCCTAGGACATACATAGTAGGCCAAGGTGAGGCCTAGTCAAGAAGGCTCAGGGAAATCTAACTAAAGTTTGGTTAAGGAGAGTCTTTGCTGAGATAAATCTATCATTGCCCTGGAAAAATAACTTTCACTATGTCATCAGAAAGATTAGTGTGGCTGATAGCTTTCTTCTCAGTTCTGTGCTGAGAACTGAGTTCACATGTATAATTTGAACTAGCTCAGCAGAAGTGGGAGATTTGCTCTTTGTCTGCCACCAGACTCGTCTGGATCATTTTGGGGGTTTGTTAAAAAAGCCCCCTGATACTTGGTGAAATGTACTTGTCTCTGCCCCCAGCCTGGAGTGGTTCTTTCTGCTGGCTCATGATTGTCTTTCTGTTGTGGTGACTCTTTCTTTCATTTCAGGTACACAGCAAAGGACTGAAGCTAGGGATTTATGCAGATGTTGGAAATAAAACCTGCGCAGGGTTCCCTGGGAGTTTTGGATACTATGACATTGATGCCCAGACTTTTGCTGACTGGGGAGTAGATCTGCTAAAATTTGATGGTTGTTACTGTGACAGTTTGGAACATTTGGCATATGGTATGTTTCATGCAAGAGATTTCGCCACAAGCAAAGGGAAGAACTTTGAGGCCAAGGTAGCTAAGCATCCAAAGAACTACTCTTCTGATTTTAATTATCCAGTCACAACATTGGAAAAAAGTGTTCTCAATACGCCAGAGCTCCCACCTCTTCTCTTTCAGTTCATTCATTCATTCATGTAAAGTCCATGCATGTCTAACCATGATTAATATTGTGCACTTTTAATTCAAGAAGGCTCTGAGAGTTAATTACAATCAGTAATTGTAACTCTCTAGAATCTCATTTAGGAAAGAGTCCAGGTTGTCCAACAGTTGCAGAGAAAGAAGCATCTTTATTCCTGCCTTCTCAACATATACACCATCTCCACACTACCTCCTCAGAGCAATCCCAGCACTCTGGGAGATACTTTACACATTTACGCACAGAGTATTCCCTACTGCTGGTTTAAAATATGAACATAGACCTTCCATGCAGCCTCTTTTAAAATATATAGCCCCAGCTGGAAGTTCACTTCTTTCCCTTATTTTACCCATTGCTTTCTCATACAGGTTATAAGCGTATGTCCTTCGCTCTGAATCAGACTGGCAGAAGCATTGTATACTCCTGTGAGTGGCCCCTTTATATGTGGCCCCTTCAAAAGGTGAGATACTGAGTCCAGAACCAAATAGGAACTTGCTTAGATTTTCAGAACTTGAGAACAAGGGAGACCAAGGTCTCCTTCAAAGTTCAACTTTGCATAATAGCATCATCCTACCTTCTCTCCTAGGATCGATGACTTCTCACCATTCCCACTGCTGTAATTACAGGCTAAGCTACCATAACCCAGGAAGTCATCTTTAATTCTTCCTTTTGTCTCACCATTCCTTCCACTACCATCTCAAAAACATCCTGAATCAGCCCCTTCTTTCCATCTCCACTGCATCCACCCTGGCCTTCCAAACCACTGTCTTCTCTCACCCAGACTGCTCTGACAGCCTGATCTCTCTGCTTCCACTCTCCCCACCCCCATTTAGCTTCCAAGCAGCACCAGAGTTATCTTGTTAAAATGTAAATACAAGTTTAAAAAAAAAATCCTGCCAGGTGTGGTGGCTCACATCTGTAATCCCAGCACTTTGGGAGACTGAAGCAGAATGATTACTTGAGGCCAGGAATTCAAGACCAGTCTTGGCAACCTAGCATGACATTGTCTCTAAAATATCAAAAACTTAGCTAGGTGTGGTGGCACACAACTTTAGTTCCAGCTACTCAGGAGGCTGAGCCCAGAAGTCAAGGCTGCGGTGAGCCATGATCATGCCACTGCACTCCAGCCTGGGCAAGAATGAGAGTGAGACCCTCACTCAAAAAAAAAAAAATCTTGAGACTTGGCAGATTTTTTTTTTTTATGTAAATGGCATTGTATCACTCCCCTGCTTAAAATGTTTAACTGGCTTCCCATTGCACTTGGAATGAAACCAGTTTCCACTGATGTGGCCCTTACCTCTCCAGACTTCAAAGAGTGATTGCTCTTTCCCTCACTGCACTGGTGTTCTTTCTGTTCTCAACATCTCAACACCACAAGCCTATTGGTGCCCTAGGGCCTTTACACTTGCATTTTGTTTTCTACCTAGAACAGGTCTTCCCCCAAGATTTTCAGTGTTCCTTAACATTGGAATCTCAGAACAAATGCCACATACATCTTTCTAGCTACTACTTTGTTCATTCTTTATTACATAAACCTGTAAACTTCTGAGCATTCAGCACTATATAGAAGTATTTGTTGTCTACTAGAGTATAAGCTCCATGAGGGCAGAGGCCTTGTCTGACTTTATGACTCTTATCTCTAGCATATAGTTAAGTGATTAAGTTACTTATGGAATGAATCCCTATTATTTCCTCGTAATCTCTACAAAAGTCTCACCTTTCCCTTAACATCTTCAGCTATCCCACCTATCTACAAACTTGTATTCATTACATTTACAAATTACAAGCCTAGGATTCAGGTTTTCTTATATGTTTAGAGTCCTATGTAGTTTTGCAGCTTTTTATTTTCCTCACTAAGATCATTTTCGTTATAATTTTTTTAAAAAGTAGCTGGGCATGGTGGCGCACACCTGTAGTTCCAGCTACTTGGAAGACTAAGGTGGAAGGATTGCCTGTGCCCAGCAGGTTAAAGCTGCAGTGGCCACGAGCATGCCCCTGCACTCCAACCTGGGCGACAGAGGGAGACTCTGACTCAAAAAAAAAAAAAAAAAAAAGAAGAGAAAATAAAAATCTTCCATAATCCCAACACCTTATAACTATTTGGTAAATTTCCCGCATAAATATTATTAAAGTCACTTCAAGTAGGGATTTTAAGTTATATGGCTTATTTCAGAAGTAAACATCTTACAATAAAATTCCATTCTAATAAAGGTTTAGACCTCATAGAGACCTTCCATCTGTAAACTAAACAGCAGGTTACAAGTGCCTCTGACTGTTCTCACAAGGATGTTAGTAGAAAGTAAACAGAAGAGTTGTTATCTCTGTCTTCACAGCCCAATTACACAGAAATTCGACAGTACTGCAATCACTGGAGAAATTTTGCTGATGTTTATGATTCCTGGCAAAGTGTAAAAAGTATCTTGGACTGGACATCTTCTAACCAGGAGAGCATTGTTGATGCTGCTGGACCAGGGGGTTGGAATGACCCAGATATGGTAAAAACTTGAGCTCTCCTTGTTCAAGCCCCAGCAGTAGGCCTGTTTCCTATTTGATAGTCAAGGTAAATAGAGGTCAAGTTCCTGGGAGAAGGCTTAGTGTGAGAGTACTTAAAGCAGGATGCCGTGAAAGGTGGCTTCTCGATGGGTCATCTAGGTAAATTTAAGAATGTTTCCTCTCCGCCAGGCATGATGGCTTAGCCTGTGATCCCAGCACATTGGGAGGCCAAGGTGAGAGGATTGCCTGAGCCCAGGGGCTCAAGACTAGCCTGAGCAACTTCGCAAGACCTCATCTCTACGGTAAATCAAAAAATTAGTCAGGCATGGCAGCATGCGCCTGTAGTTCCCGCTACTTGGAAGGTTGAGGCAGAAGGATCACCTGAGCCCAGCAGGTCGAGGATGCGGTGCCACTGCACTCCAGCTGGGCCACAGTGAGACTCCAACTCAAAAAAAAAAGCTTACTCTCTCATCTGAATTATTTCATTCTTTTGTCCCAGTTAGTGATTGGCAACTTTGGCCTCAGCTGGAATCAGCAAGTAACTCAGATGGCCCTCTGGGCTATCATGGCTGCTCCTTTACTCATGTCTAATGACCTCCGACACATCAGCCCTCAAGCGAAAGCTCTACTTCAGGATAAGGATGTAATTGCCATCAACCAGGACCCCTTGGGCAAGCAGGGCTACCGGCTTAGAAAGGTAATTAATGGAAGGTAATTAATGGTCGGTGGGAGAAAATAGGAATCAGCAAGAATACATTCTCCATCCCTCTAGTTTAAATTCAGCTCATTATTTATTGTCAGTATGTATTTTAAGATGACCTTATACCCAATACTGTTTGCCTTGGGCCTAAATCTGTTACATATGAAGACATGAACTGATCCTTTGAGAACTTATTTTCACTTGATCTTGATATTCCAGTGATATCAGTATAATAAAACTTTTCACTAGAACCGTTATTTCCAAAATTCGCTACAAGACAGTATTCATTTTCCCTGCAAGTGCTTGGCAGTTCTGACAGTAAGACTGAATGCCAAACTAACTAGACAGCATATCACTAGTTCCCAGGCAATCAAACCTGTTTTCTTGGCTTTTCAGGGAAACAACTTTGAAGTGTGGGAACGACCTCTCTCGGACTTAGCTTGGGCTGTAGGGATCTTAAACCGGCAGGAGATTGGTGGACCGCGCTCTTTTACCATCTCAATTGCTTCACTGGGTCGAGGAGTGGCCTGCAATCCAGCCTGTCTCATCACACAGCTCCTCCCTGTGAAGAGGGAGCTTGGATTCTATGAGTGGACTTCAAGATTAAAAACTCAAATAAATCCCACAGGGACTGTTTTGCTTCGGCTAGAAGAAACAAACCAGGATGCATCAAAAAGTTTACTTTAAAATGTTTGTTACCAAATAAGTAGCCCACTTCCTGCCTACCTTTTTTCTCCCTGTTTGCACTTAAAAAGCTATTTCCTTGAATAAAATTTTCCAAAGTTGGAACTTCAAAACTACAAAATAATAATAGCTGTAATTTATCAGGTACATATGTGCCAGACACTGTTCAATCCAGAGGCTGTTCATCTACTTGTAAGTTACAAAGCCAGGATTTAAACCCGGTAATGAACTTTTGACCACTACACTGCTGCCTTAGTGCAAAGGGAAAATGAAAAACACCTGCCTCAATTGAAGGACAAAAAAATAGCCAAGCAGGAGCTGGGCTCAGTGGCTCAGCCTGTAATCGCAGCACTTTGGGAGGCTGAGGTGAGTAGATTGCCTGAGCCCACAGGTTCGAGACCCTCCTGGGCAACTTGGCAAGACCTCATCTCTACAATAAATCAAAAAAATTAGCCGGGCATGGTAGCGCATGCTTGTAGTTCCAGCTACTTCAAAGGCTGAGGCAGAAGGATCACCGTAGCCCAGCGTCGAGGCTGCAGTGGCCAGGAGTGGGCCCTACACTCCAGTCTGGGTGACAGAGTGGGACCCTGACTCAAAAAAAAAAAGCCAAGTAGGAACTTGATACATTATGGCCTAAGATAACAAGCATGTGTGCTGTTCAGATTTAAGATGAATCGCCTTATCTCAAGAGGGAGTAATCTACAAACTAGGGTTTGTGGGCATGGATAATTTCAAGGGAATTTTCAGATGTAAATGCCCGTAGTTTTTCTAGTTAGTTTGCCATCAAACCTGCTCCTTTATGACAACCCTTTTACAACCGCATTTCTCCCACTTGAGCAGAAATATCAGTACCGGAAGGACCACTCAAAACACTAAGTGCATGTTGGAATTTTTTTTTTTTTTGTCTGTCAGGTGACTACCAATTATTTTCCCTAAAATTGGAGGAAGTCAATTAATAAAAATTGGAATAAAATCAAACCCATAATTACTTATCCAATATGATTTTCCGATCATCAAAACGTGTAGCACACTTTTTTCACCAGTTTTGCTGCAGAACTACAAAGCTGAACATCTGCAACTGTTAGGCACTTTAAAGAGTGAATAGAATATTCTACAACTCCACTAGGGAGTTTAACACACTGATATTTTTGCAGTTATTTCAATGTGATAAAGTCTACTTTAAAATATGAGGGGCATGTCAAAATGTTAAAGGGCTTTGAGAATATGTCCAAAGACATAATATCTATACATGTTACAGTATAAATCACTGACGTACCAAAGATTTGAGATTATTTAACTCTAGTAAATCTTATATTCACCATGGATGTGTTAACTGACTTCTCCCTATTAGCCTGAAGTGTCTCTACTTATATAACAAATAACCAATAACCTTTGCTTAACAGCAAATGGGATCTCAAAGCATCAAGGGATTAAAGTGCCAAATCAGATCACTGCAACATCTGATGTGAGCTCAACCAACCAGATTCAATCCCAAAACTAGTACCCAGAAGAACCACAAAGCATACCACTTCCCCACTAGGATATTCTATGAATGGTTGTTTATTTCCTCCCAAAACACAACTGCAACCAAATAAAGTGAATATAATCAAGATTTTATTCTCTTTATAACAAAATGACATTAGAACTGGATCACCTGGCCCTGTAACAGAACAGAAAAAAAGTTGAGTTTTGTAAATTTTGCAAAGAACTTCTCCATCAAGAGCATTATCTAGTCCTAAAAAGATCACCATGCTATATTGTCTCTTCATTTTTCCTCTCCCACCTTTATAGCAAAAACACCCCAAAATCCTTTACTTTCAGTTATGGATCTAGTTATTTTCTGAGGATTACCTGAGCTCTATGCCACAATAAGTGAAAAGAAATGTTCACCTCTCCAAACAAAACTATAAAAACGATTGCACCTTCCACCCATAATTTACCTTTCTCTTCTTATCTCCTCCCAGTTCAAAATGCTTGCATCTCTTAATAGCCAGCATTCTCTTAGATCTGCAGTTGGGCTCAACACACTCAAGCCTCAGCACAATCTTCTTGGTAGTTTTAGCCTGGGAAAAAATTGAATCAAAGCCTTTATAAAATCACTGCAGTAAATAACTTTCTTCAAAAACTTGACTATGTTAAGTACTATCTAAAGCAAAGTTTTGCAAGTGATAGTTGCCACCATCTACCTTTAGGGAGAAAAGCTAAAAATTGCAGTGAATTTAAGAGAAAACGTAGTGATAGCAAAGGCGGCAGGGTATCTAATTTCCACCAAGTTCTACTAATCTTAACTCCATTCATATCAAATATCCTAGAGAGCTTACTAGCCAATGGGCACTCATCAGACCACCTTGAACTTGTGACCCGCTTTTGAGCAGCTCTGCATAATTCTTACATATTTCATAATCAAAAATGGGTCAACCAAGTCCATGCAACTATGAAATAAACAACTTTTGCAATTCATTCAACAGGATTGTTACTTAAGATCTACTATCAGTTAATTCTAAGGCTCCAACAATTAGGTTTTAAATTTATGTGCATTCAATTGAATTATTTAATTCAGGGTATAACCTCCACTAATTCCCAACTTTTTAATAAACCTGCCCCTTAGAATTCTGCTGCTAGTTTGCAGTTCCCAACAGGACAAAATCTAATTCGAACCGCCTCACCTTCTAAGCAAGTTACCCTAATGTGAAAAGGTACTCAAGCATTTCTTTTAGCATCCTGAGATTAAAAAAATTTTATCTCAAAGCACCGAAGTCATTCCTTAATACTTTCTGGAACTAGGCTGTATGAGAAGCAAAGTGCCAAAGGAAATGCTATTTCGGTGGGAATGCTATGTTCCAGGCATTGTGTTAATTATTTTAGGTGGCAGCCAAATTGCCGAAGGTTTGAGCAGAAAGAGAAAGAACAGAAACTCCTTCAGTCTGAGAATAACAAACAAAATCCAGGAGGGCCCACTGGCTAGTAAGCTCTCTAGGATATTTGATATGAATGGAGTTAAGATTAGTAGAACTTGGTGGAAATTAGATACCCTGCCGCCTTTGCTGTTCTCAACAGTTTTAAGTCTCTGTGAGACAAGGAGCAGAATGACTGCAGTTTCTGCTATGAGAAGCAAAAGAACAAAACAATTCTTACTAGAGCCAAGAGCTGAGGATTCAGACATGACAGATAAGAAACAGGGCATGAAAGGCTGAGGCAGAAGGATTGCCAACACCCACCAGGTCGACGCTGGGGTGGCCATGAGTGTATCACTGCACTCCAGCCTGGGCGACGGAGTGACACTTCAACTCAAAAAAAAAAAAAGAGAAACAGGGCAAATGAAAGGATTTACCAGGAAATAAGTGCACACTCCTTCTTTTTGCCTCCTCAGAAAGAAAAGGATAAAAAATATAAGTCACTGAGACAGTGCAGTATTGTGGACTAGAACCAGACCTGGGTTGCACTCCCAGCTTCACTGTCTACTAGATAGATTACTGCAGGAAACTGCAATAACTTCACTGTGCCTAAGATACACCTACATTGTGAGGTGGGCAAACCAGAGACAAGTGCACATCCATTACCTCAATTAAGTGGGACATGTGTCAAGTTGTAACACTAACCTTTTTCCGGAAAATCGGCTTAGTCTGCCCACCATAGCCACTTTGCTTCCTGTCATAACGCCGCTTTCCTGGGAAAATGAAGTGTTATTACAATGTAATGAAGAAATAAATCACAGCAGTAGCATGGAAAAACCCAGTTTTGTCTTGGGCTTCGCAGCAGAAATCTTGACGCTCAAACCGAGGATTAAAAAAAAAAAAAAAACCGGACTCATACATTTCACTACTACACAAATGCCACATCAAATCCCTATTATGCAGAATCCATCTTACCCTGGGCATACAGAGAGTCCTTGCCCTTCTTGTACTGTGTCACTTTGTGGGGCTGGTGTTTGCCACACTTCTTACAGAAAGTCCGGCGGGTTTTAGGAACGTTCACCTAGTAAAGAAGCCATTCAGAACGTGTAGCATTATCACACCACAAGGGCACCACGCTCTACCTGACCCAGCTGAAGCTCAGACACTCCACGGGTACCCGACTCTAACTCCTCGCTAACACACAACACTCCTATAGCTTTGACTAGCGGTTGGGTCCAGCCCCATGTGCTTCAAGCAGAGAGCCCCCCGTCGAGCTCCGAAGAGGAAAACGATTAACTCCACCCGCGGCTAAATCTACATTCTCTGTTTCCATCATTAAGTTCCTAGTCCCGGAACCGGATCCCTTCGGGGTCGACCCCCGCAAGATTGGGCTGCTTAGGTACATCGAGTCCACGCAGGGACCTGGATCAATACCACACAGCATCGTCGACGCAAGGGGAAAAGATTAAGCTGGATGTTCCCCGGCCCCCTCTCCAGGGTCCTACCATGTTTGCGGGAGCGCTTTCTGCACGGAAAGAAAGAGGCCGGGCAGGAAACGGAAGTATATAGGAGGTTCCTGGTCGCACTTCCTCATGGGAGTTGGTAGGAGCGATCATAGACTCTACGGCTCATTGCGCGCCCTCCAGCGGCTAAGAGGACTCGACTTGGAGCCGCGGACTAGAGCTCCAAGAATAATTCTGCCTAAAGACTGGTCCAGTTATGTTGGCTTCCTCCCACCCGCCAACTTTGCAACTTTTCAATTATTTCATCTCTTTTGGCGAACGCTGCTACATAGTAGCGTTACGTGAAGGGAGCAGACACTCTGGCCTCCTTGTCCCCGAGGGAAGCCGGGACTGGTGTCACTTCCACGTTCCATTCCTGTTCCATCTCTAGGACACTGAGAAGACCTTTAGCAGCGAACTGCTGGTTCAATGAAGGCTTGAAGGGAACCAGTTGCTCCAGTTCATCTATCACATGGCCAGGGGGTCCATTCAACAAATGTTTACTGGGTGTCAGGCACTGTTCTAGGGCAGGGACACACTAACACACTAATAAATGTACAACTACTGAAGAAGTACCTTGAGTAAAGGAAACAAGCAGCATTAAAGGAGTAAGTCAGATGCTCTAAGTTCTGACAAGTGACAATGAAATTGTCCAGCTTCTGCAATAGCAATAATGAGGCCAAGAGATAGAAAGCACCCAGCAGCACTTCCCTACCCTGCATACCTGGCAGAATGCATGTCCTAGGTTTCAAGAGAATCCAGCAGAGAAAGACTGCAGGATGCTAAGTATTTTAAATGGATTGTCATCTGGCGTGGTGGCTCCTGCCTATAATCCCAGCATTTTGGGAGGCCAAGGCGGGAAGAGCACTTGAGCTCAGGAGTTTGAGACTACCCTGGGCAACATAGTGAGAACTCATCTCTACCCACCCACCCTCCCCCCCCAAAAAAATTAGCCGGGTGTGATGGTGCCCACCTGTAGTCCCAGCTACTGGGGAGGCTGAGGCGGAGGATCACTAGAGCCCAGGAGGTTGAGGCTGCAGTGAGCTATAATCACGGCACTGCACTCCAGCCTGAGCAACAGAAAAAACCCTGTCTCTTACAAGTAAACAAAGAAAGGAAGAATTGTCTCATACAGTTCTCACAGTAATTCTAGGGATAGGTGGTACAATTATTCCCATTTTACATATGAGGAAATTGGAGGCCATGGGATGTTAAATGATTTGCCCAATGTCAACAGTGTTTAGTGGATCTAGGATACAAACCCAGGTAGTCTGACTCCAGAAAGCCTGGATTTCTTTACCATTATAAAATACTACTGTTGTGACCTGCTTATTACAATAGCTAAAAAAGTATAAAGCAGCCGGGCTTGGTGGCTCAGCCTGTAATCCCGCGCCTTTGGGAGGCTGAGGTGAGTGGATTGCCTGAGCCCGCGGGTTCGAGACCCGCCTGGACAGCGAGACCTCATCTCTACAATAAATCAAAAAATCAGCCGGACGTGGTAGCACATGTCTGTAATTCCGGCTACTTGGAAGGCTGAGGCAGAAGGATCGCCGGAACCCAGCAGGTCGAGGCTGCGGTGACCGGGAGCGGCCACTGCTCTCCAGTCTGGGCGACAGAGTGAGACTCCAACTCAAAAAAAAAAAAAAAATGTATAAAGCACTTATTGCATGCAAAGCATTCTCCTGACCACCTCATATACTACCTCTTTTAATCCCAACAACTCCAGGAGGTATGTATCGTTTTTAGTGTTTAACAGGTGAAGAAACTGATGCACCAGATGCATTAAATTCACTTACCGGAAGTTACACAGGTGGTTATTTTGTGGAGCTGCAACTTGATCCTAGGTATTAAAACACCACGACTTTGCACTTAACCAATTCATCACAGAGGGGAAGCAGGAACATCTGCAGGGCGGAGGATGGTGAGGGGAGAGAATGGAACTAGGATGCAAGAGAAGGTGGCAGTAGGATTAGGGGCTAAGAGCCTGGGGTAACATGCTTGCACACTTCTCCAAGAGCACCCATGACTGAGCTGACTCGTTGATCATCCTCTATTTTGCTGGGTGGTCTCAGGGAATGAAATAATAAAAACATTACCACTACCCACTACATTTCCTAAAAGTTTTTTGCCAAACTGCCAACCTGTAGTCTCACAGCATTTGTTTTTCTGTCCACCTTCTTAAGTAATCCCACTGGCCTTTGGGGAGTTTCAAAAGGACTTTTTATGTTACTAACATGGAAATATGAAGACAGTGAACATGGCTTCTCTTCATCTCATCAACCTCAGTTCTTTTTTTTTTAAGATTAGAAAATATAGTTTATTTAGAAATAAATTAGGGAGAGAGAAAAAAAGGATTTTCACCTCCCCAAGGCAGGGAAGGAGACCAAAGCCAGGAAACATGGCAACAGCCATAGCTCAAAGAGCACATGGTCACAACAGAGTCTTAGTAAGGCAATGTTCCAGCAATGGCGGTGGCAATGGCCTAGCAATGACCCACCTTAGTTCTTTCTATCATTCCACATGTTGCATGACTTTTGGAGGGTTTCTGTTTATTCTAAAATATTTAATTGACAAAAATTGTTTCTTTTCAAGGTATACAATGTAATGATTTGATATACATATACACTGTGCAGTGATTACCACAGTAAATTGAATTAGCACATCCGTCATTTGTCACCATCCATAGTTACCATTTGGTGGGGGAGATGAGGACACTTAAAATTTACTCTTTTAGCTGGGCTCGGTGGCTCAGCCTGTAATCGCAGCGCTTTGGGAGGCTGAGGGGAGTGGATTGCCTGAGTCCGCGGGTTCGAGACCCGCCTGGCAACTTGGCAGGACCTCATCTCTACAATAAATTAAAAGATTAGCCAGGCGTGGTAGCGCGCGCCTGTAGTTCCGGCTACTCGGAAGGCTGACGCGGGATTGCCGTAGCCCAGCAGGTCGAGGCTGTGGTGGCCAGGAGCGCGCCACTGCACTCCAGTCTGGGCAACGGAGTGAGACTCCAACTCAAAAAAAAATTTTTTTGCTCTTTTATTGAATTGTAATAACACAGTATTATTAACTATTGCCACCATGTTGTGCATTAGAGCCTCAGAACATACACATCTTATAACTGAAAGTTTGTGCACCACTCCTGGTATCTGTTTAGACATGCTCCTGCTCATTAATATCCCCTAAGATGAGGCATTCAGAACTGAGTGCAGGACTCTAGGTGTGGCCTGGTTTTGCAGAGTATGTGGCACATTACCTTTCTTCTGTCTATATATTTTATTTTACTTCCACAAGGAAGCTTAATGTCACCTTGGCTTTTCTGGCAGCCTTGTTAATGGACATAACATTTCTCTTGATTACTATTAGCAAAATCTCTGACCCATTTTCACAAATGCTACTGCTAGCCCACCTTCACCTGAAGTCATGTGAAGTTCAAAGTTGGGGCCCAATAATGGGACATCACTTTTAGCTCTAGTAGGAAACACTTTGTGGAATTTGGCTTCTCCTATCAAGTGATCAAGGTCTTTTTGGAAACTAATTGCCCTCTTCTGTCATCCAATCTAGCACACAGAGCCTTACACCATTCACAGACTAGCTAAGCTACTTTCTTTATCTTCTTCAAAGATCATTAATAAACATTTTGGACAGGAAAACATCAAGAGCAGAACCTTATATTACATTGGGAATCTGTTGAAGTGACACTACTCAGCCTTTCATTTGAGCTATATGGGTACAGCCCTGTCAGTATGGATGAGTGTGCTAGGGGCGTGGTCGTAACAGAGGGGGAAGAAGAAAAGCCTAGAAATTCTTGCCCCTTTCCCTTGTCTTCCTTTCTCTTGTCTAGATTTCCTATTGTATGCCTATCGATTCCCAGCCCATGCCCCAAGATGGACCTTGAGAAAGGACAAGGCATGTGACAACTAGTGGCATCTGACTGAAGAAAACGGACAGGAAGGTGAATGCCTGTGACCAACTCTCAGGCAGGCAACCGGAGCGACTATTGGGGGCGACTAGTGAAGGGATATAAGTTGTTACCGACGTAAGTCAACCATATAACATTTGCTGACCATCTGTCTTGTACAGATATGAAGATCAACACCTTTACCATCCTATAAATGCTTTTTAAAATTAAAAAATAAGTCTTATTGTCTTAAAAATTCCAATGTACTTGTAGTGGAATCTGTGATACAGTACCTCAGTATTGTCTTCATTTCCTAGGAGAGTCCTCAGTGGGGGGAAAGATTGCAGCTGAAACATAAATGAGGCGGCCACTGAGGAAGCATGCAGACTTCAAGTGACACAACTAGTCTGGTATATCAATTTACAGGAATAAAGAGAAACATGAAAATGGAGAGTTAATCCCTGATGCTGAATTTTATTTTTATTTTTAAGTTCGAGTCTTACTGTGTTGCCCAGCACTGGCATGATCACAGCTCACCGCAGCATCAACCGTCTAGGCTCAGGAAATCCTTCTGCCTCAGCCTCCTGAGTAGCTGGGACTACAGGCATGCACCACCATACCCAGATTATTTATTTATTTATTTATTTATTTATTCATTTATTTAGGAGAAATGAGGTCTTGCTATGTTGTCCAGGATGGTCTTAAATTCCTGGGCTCAAGTAATCCTCCTGCCTCGGCCTACCAAAGTACTGGAATTACAGGCATGAGTTACTGCACCCAGCCTGATGTCAAATTTTACATGGAGAAAACCAGCATCTACAGAAAATGGGGAAGGGCACAAGTATTTGTGTGGGCTTACATTCTGACATTTTTATCTGTAGGGGAAAAAATACTTTCTTAGAAAATGACTCAGCAGGGGGAAGTTTGTCTCTACCTCTGTCAGGCTCTGTCCTTAGGGGTCCCTGTGTGAGTACTCCCCATCCTTCACTATCAGGTTTAACCATGTGACCCTGAGTTTCCTCTGCCCCCAAAGGACAGAAGACTCTAAAGACACTGCTCCTGGCCAGTCACTTTATTCTCTCTCCACCAGCTTCAGTGTTTCTCTTCTCTGTGAATCCCTCTCCCTGTGCTGACCATCCCCACAGCCTTTTAGTTATCTTGTCCCTTTACCTCTGGAAGAGCAGACAACCTAACAACCTGTCTGCTCAACTCAGCCCTGTCTAGAGTCTCAGGGGCCCCAGAAATGTTGAGAAAGGTTCTTTCAGAGCCAGACCCAAGATAGTAGTGTCAGAGGTCCCAAGCAAATGAAGGGCGGGGACAGT